GGAGAAGCTTTAAAGTTCAAACGTTGAAGCTATCTAAAGTAAAAATCAAAAAACAATGGCAATAAAAAATCTTCTGATTTTACTATCTTCCATTAGATTAGACAGTTCCATTCCATTATTAGTATTCAAAATAATACATAAGAATTATGCAAAATTCAACCTGCTGAAAAATAATTCTAAAACCCAAACCTTTCCATTTAGTACTAAATCATAGCATACTGGTGATCATCAATGTAACTTATAATTGAACATTAACTGACAAGAAGATGATTTTGGGTTTTGTTCTGGTTTTGTTGTTGTGTGGTTTGGGGTTTTTTAAAAATTTCTATGCATGAAATGGATTTACTGAGCTGTGTTGTTCAACTGTTTTGTACCACAGGATCTTTACACAATGATTTGTGGGGAATGACCAAGTAATTACTTAATAAGCACAGGAAAAACAGTAATTGCAAAGTGAGAGCTCACAGCATTAACTTTTCCTTTTGCAGACACAAGTTCCTCAGGCAACCTAAACACCATCTACCTAACATAATCTGATGGTTTTAGTCTGTCAGGAGGAAACTGAATGAATGAATGAATGAATGAATGAATGAATGAATGAATGAATGAATGAATCCACTTTGTGGATAACTCCAGTTCTTCCAGCAAGTCAAAAAGAAAGGATGTCATTAGTTTGCAGCAAAAACTTACAAGCTGCATCATTACAGGTCCTCTACTTGCTTTTCTGGGCTTGTAGTGATTCCGCAGCAGAGACACTACAGCAGCATAGTTTAATGCCTTTTTTAAGCATTAAATGCCATTAATTCTTACCTGTACTGTTCAGTTTCACAATGTCAATAGAAAGCCTAAAAAGTCTTTGTGCCAATTATGACAAGAACAATTTCAAAACAATAATTTTGAGCAACTTTCCAAATTTTCTGATGATAATGAGCTAACAGTTCATTTTGTGGAAGGGGCTAGGAGAAAAGCATTCTCACATGTAACTGAGAATGCTCTGTGGATTCAATTAGCTCAATGTATATCAGACATTTTTCTCATCACTTATTACATGAAAAAGTAGTAATTTTTTCCAGGTGATCTATTAAACCATGACCCTGGTTTGGTTCTTGAGCAGGCAATGCTTGTACACTCACTGATGTTGAGTGTTTTATTATTCCACAGCTGTAGTGACCCACTGATAAACCCCACCAGACTGTGTGACCATAAATCACCATCTCTGTTCCTCTCAGGTGCTGCTTTCACCACGACTGCTGCTATGGGAGGGCAGAGCAAGCAGGGTGTCAGCCAAAGACTGAAAGTTACCACTGGGAATGCAAAGACAATTCTGCTGTGTGTGGTGAGTGAGCACTTGGGAGTTTTTTGGTGTTATTTGCTTGGTTTGGTTGTTTCTTAGTTCTACTAATTATCTCTTTAGAAAGGTATTTTCTTAATTAACTGTAAAACTCTTAGTTTACCATCCTTCCTTTTGTAACTTTTTTTGCCAGGATAGACTGTGCCTCCAGAAAGCACAGCTAAACCAATCAACTGAATGCAGTTTCTTTTTCTTAATCCTCCCTCTGACTGACATAAGCAAACAAAACTGTGAGCCACAAGCATCTATTGCCTTTTCAGAAAACACAACCACAACCATCCTTTTACTCAGCATTTACACTTGCTGAGGAACCCATGTTATGGAACTCCCTGCAAGTGTCCAGCTGGAGAGCAACTACAAACAGGAGATAGGAAAATTGTAACAGTTTAAAAAGGATGTTTTCCCTACTTAGCAGAAAATATTCCCCACTATTTGTAAGTTTATAATGGACGTGTTTTTGGCATATTTATCCTCAATCAGTTGCACTGATGGCTGCAATTTATGAATGGATAATTATAGGTTAAAGTTTCAAACAATGAGGTAATATTTGATGAATATATTTATTTCTGGAAGTTAAATTAACAAATATTAATTTGAAAATATCTACATAACACAAGTGTACAAATTGCAACAGATTGCCGACCACATCCTGATAAATTTTGTTGGATTGTTCCAAAATATACTTGCCATGCTGAGGTAAGGGAAGGACAAAGAAATCACAAAGAAAGAAAAATCCCAAAAAATGGTTAACAGAAAAAAGCAGCTTTTCTTTTGCATTATTTGTTCATAACTCCCAAAGTTTTAGCAAATGCTTTTCAATATATTTAAAGACTCATTATAACTGTAGCTTCTCACAAGCCCCCAATATTTACAGGGTTTTTTTCTTGCTACATTTTTATATTGGTTTTTTGTTTGTGTGCTGTTTGGGATTTTGTTTGCTTGTTTTGTCTTTAAAATCAGATGCTCAGTCAGTTACTTTGGATATAATTTTATGCTTCTACCTAGAATGCAAATGCGCTTAAAAATTGGTTATTATTTGCACTACAGAAATGCAAAAACCCTTACATAAACTTGTTTAAAACAAGTCTGAGTTTCTGACTACCATGTTTTAAAGGCAACAGTTGGCCATTTACAGAGAACACAAAACTCTCATTTCATACTCAATTTAGAATTTTCCTGACCTGAAAACAAATGGAAGTTTGGACATTACTTCCTTTCCTCTTTCATATTCAATCTTTGCTTTGCCCAAGTGTCTACCTCTTTCAGAATCTCTATTTGCTCAAATCTTCCCCTGCCCCAGATGGACAAAACATCTTCCCTCACACTAATTAATCTCATTACAGTCCACCCTGATTTGGCTGTAAAGATTTTGCTCCTGACAATATTCAAAATACTGGCCAAGATATCAGGCATGGTGTCAGGAAACCAAGTCCCTGGCATAGCATGGAGAAAATAAAGTCTGGAGCAAGACCAGGAGAAGAAAGAAGAAGCAATAGTTCTCAGTTAACATGTTTTCATTTTTATCCTATCATGTTGCTCATGCTACCTGTGCTACTGAGTAGTAGCTGCAGCATAAACACATTTACATTAAGAATACTTCCCTTTCATGGCAGAATTTGAGTTCATTCACAAAAACTGAACACTTGTTCTGCTCCTGGACAAATCTCAAGCAGTGATTTGGCTAAGCTTTTAAAATGGTAAACACTCAGACAAAATGTAATCAAGGATTCTTCAGTTTACAGACAGTTACAGAGAGAAAAAAACCACACACTTCTGGGTTGGCACACTGAACCCAAAATACATTGCTGTAGAAGAAAATGTTCATGCCAAGAAGAAACACTCATGCCAAGAAATCTGTTAAGTTACAACACTACAATTATAAAACAAACATGACAAGACATGGATTAATCACACAAACACAGTTTCCCTAAATTCTTACTGAACCCCTTAATAAAAAAGGTGGGCAGTTTAGGCTGGACATGGAACACCTTTGCATGCCATGTATCTATCCCATGTATTATTTTTAATGCTATATCCTAGAGTAGATTATAAAGGGTATGTGAAAGGAATATCTTCCCAAAATCAAGTTTCACTAGAGCAAGAGGAAAGGCAGGGAGGATCCCATACCACTTTCTAAAGAGAGATCAATTATCAGAGTTCCTTTATTAAAAAACTGTAAGAGTATTTAAGCCTTTATCTGGCTGTTGTATTTTCACCTGCCAAGATCAGTGATTAGTGACTGATGCACTAAGACTGATTCTCAGTCTTACCAAAGCTCAGTTCCTATTGCACTTGAAATGTAAGGCATTTGTACTGCAAATATGGAACATGAGGGAGCAATTCTTGGTATTCCATTGGGGATTTTTAATTTCTTCAGACTAATATCAAACTCACTGTGTTTTCTTTCAGACTCACTAGAAGATAAATGTCAAAAAATGGCATGTGAGTGTGACCGTGAAGCTGCCAGATGTTTTTCTAAAGCTCCCTACCACAGAAAATACCTTTTGTGGCCAGATTTTTTGTGTGGTGAGATTCAGCCTTTGTGCAGGTATCAGATACATGACTATTGAATATATTGAAATCTAAAATGACTTTTTTTTGGCCACAGTAATGACAAGAAATTATTTTCCCCTTTCTTGATACTCCTTCATTCCATCTCAGCCTCTCCACCTCAAAATGGGCAAAGTAAACATTTTTCCTGTTATTTACTTTCTCCCACACACTTATCATTGACTAAATAGAAATCTGAGTTTATCAGCTTAAGGAGTAACTGACAATGTTAATTTTTGTTTAATTCAGATTCACAGATTTTTCAGATTGATAATATCATTCACTATGAACTTTTTATCCCCCCTCCACTGGCTATAAGATACAAATCAAACTTCTCCACTAACAAATCTTAGCATTTGTTAACTTTGAACTGACTGGAAAAAGTTCATGAAGTGGCAGTGTCAGCACAAAGAGCCCTCTCATCTACATTAAACACTTACTACAAAGCCTAATTTAAGTGTTGAATTTCATTCACCTGGAGTAATGCTACCTGCATTGAAGAATCATATGATTGGGGTTTTTTCCTAGCATTTACTTTTTAAATTGAGTTTTCTAAACAGCTGATTATTTCTTAAGGCTCAGACTCCTTACTCTATGTACACCCTGAATTTCCTGCAAGCACAGGGAGGAATTCTACCCCTAGAACTTTAGAGCCAGATTTTAAAATGCAAATGCAAACCATCACCAAAACAGAAACATGAAAAAAATGTAGAAGTTGCTGGGACCAAGTGGCTTTCTCACAAGTGTTTGATCCTGCACAGCAGGAGTTTATGAAGCTCAGAATTACATACACCTCATCAGGATGTAAAGCTGATTCTAGCTAGGGTCACTTCAGATATTTTTAACCCTTTAACCCTTTGGGAAGAGAAATCAGTACCCTGAACTGATAAATAATACACTGTTTTGTACCTGCTGATTTGAAGATTTATAGATCCAGGAATGTTTTATGTCTACTTTCACCCACCTCAACTTCCTCAAAGATGCAGGGCTAAAGAACAAGTTTGCACAAGTCAAAGCTAATGACATGTACTTCAATATTAAAAGAAATAAATAAAATCAAAACCCAAACAAAAATCAAAACCCAAATTCTCTATAGGAATAGTGAAGATTTTAAGAGAGATCTTTAATCATGAAAAATATTTATAGGCAAATTTAGTTCACATTACTGACACAAACGAAATAAACAAAAAAACCAAACCAATGCAGACTACAGGGGGACAAAGCTCTTGAAAAAAAATCTTACCTTTTGATTCAGTCAAAGGAACATACATTAACAAATGTCAATCCTGCTTACACAAATAACTTTCCAGTCAATACTTGCTCACAGACATAGATACACACATTATATTGCCATAAGTAATTACAGTGTCAGGTCACTTTTCCAAAATAATCCTTTTTATGAGATATTTAAGAATTAGCAACAGAATTCAAGAAGAGAGAATGAAAGGAGCTTTGATGAAGTCTAACTGAGCTGAATAAAAAATTTCCATGGTAATTATCACATTTTCCAAGACACAAGAAAATTCAAGTAGCCTTTGCCTTCAATTGCAGGAATTTTGGAACAAGCTCTACTGTGAGACTGTATAGGGCAGTCACAGTGCTACATGTAAAGGAGACTGAGATAAATGAAGTTCTTTCAAATCAGGAAGGGCATTCCTTTGGCAAACTGAAGTTGAGAAACACACTGCTGGTATGAAATGCTAAGTTTAAAAAGAAAAAGAAAAATCACTGTAGCAGTGCAGAAGACACTGACTTTAAGGCAGGCTTGAAAATACACAGAATGCTCAGGACAGAATAAAGAAATTTATCTGATACACATAGGGTGAGATGACTGTATGAGTTTTACATGGCTATACAGCAATGTGCTTTTTTTTTTCCCAACAGAAATTTCATTTTTCCTTCATCCTCCAATTTGGAATCAGCTGGTTTAAGAGTAACTTATCTTAAAGCTTTTTCATATGTTTAAAATAACATAATCCACGATTTTCACTGCCACATACATAAAGAAGAAAAGCAAAGTTTATTCAAAATGTCCATTTTTAGAAGCTAAAAAGCTCAAGAGTTCCAATGCCAATCACTGCACTTGTGTCTCCAGACGCCTTATTTCTGTAACCACAAGATCAATGTTTATAACTGGGTTAAAATACAAGGCCCAGTAAAACAAACAATTGCAGACAAACTGAGGAATAAAAGGCCAAAAAATGGCAACAAAAAGTCCCTGGGTTGAGACTTTCCAGAAATGTCTCCACATTCTGTGAGGAATAGTCCTGTGAAAAAGGAAAGGGAAAGGCTTAGAGGAACTTTCTGGTTTGTTTTTACCCAGCTGTAAGAAAACCTAACAGGTGCCACAGCTTTGCATTACTTAGCCTGTCCTCGGGTACCTGTAAAAACCACCATTTTGCACTCCAGGAAAAACTTCTCTAGAACCCGGTAGCAGCAGATCTGAGGAGGAAGCAGTGTCAGTGCACTCAGACCCCAAAGCCCAGCAGGTTCCAGTTCCCACCCCAGCTCAGCCGCAGGCTGTCCCCCGCTCCTGCTCCCGCTCTGGGCACGCTCTGCCCTCTACTGGCTGGCAAAGGGAAAACCCAGTGCACACCAAAACAAGAATTTCTCCCGTACCATTTCCAAATATCACACCAACTATGAATGTTAATATGTTTGAATTAAGACTGAGGTAGGAACAGAAAACAGAAATTCTGATAAATTATCAGAACTAGTATCAGCATAACTGAATTTATTTATGATTCTGAGGACTCATCCCATAATAACTACACTGTCTCATGACTAAATTCTAATGTATTTAGGTCTCAGCTGACAGCTAATACCATAAGAGGCAGTTCTCAAGGTAAGGTTTAATATCTCCCAGTGGTTAAGAACATGCTTGTTGCTGTTTCCATATTTGCTACATCTGATGAGTAAAACCACCTCTAAGAAACCCTTGGAAGCATGCACAGAAATAAAGATATTCCAGTGAGCAACTGTGAAATTGTAAAGCTGTTACTTTCTAAGGCCGTGTACTTCCCACCCTCTTCCACAAGCTTTGTAAGACTTACTTCAATTCTCTTCTTGACCACAGCCTCCAAAAGGAGAATAATTCCAGAACAGAAAGCAACATGGCATTTACAATTATAAATCTTGAAGTCCAGTAATGCACATCTAGCCAATCCCAAGCAAATTCAGCTATCAGCTGGTATGGCAAAAATAAATACTTTACAGTGAATTCTCTCCATTGCCTCCAAGAAGGATCTTTAAGGTCCTGTAAATTAGAATAAAGAGACTGTTAATCAATTTTCTATTAAACTTACTTAATACTGGCTTATTTTCACTAGTCTTTTATTGAAAAGCTGGGGGTTTTATACACTGAAAGCAGTAATTCATTATACCTGCTAGTAGGCAATACTGTAATGCAATAATTTCCATTAGATTAGAACATCACTTTCTGTACTCATGTGAGGTTGAGAAGAATCAGTTCCACACATTTAAAGTCTTAAAAGCCTAAAATCAATCCTATTAAAGATAATGGTTGCAACACTGGTGATTGCATACAATAAAATCAAAGAACCACTTATTCTGTAGATCTGTTGTTTTTAAAGTCATAGTGTAGAGATGAAATGATGAATAATTACATCATGTGTTTTTATGCTGCTAGTCTTGAAATGCTTATAACTAAAGCAAGTAGCACATTTAATGCTTTGAATACTTACAACTAGTTTTGTGACAGTATCTTCATACTTGTCTTCTTGCATAGGACAAATTGTGTGGATGAAAGGTAGGAAAGCTTCTGTGTAATCAAACAAATACAGGTATAACATACTGAGTCTTGGAGAACTCTTCAGTGCATACAGAAGAAAGAGGGATTTTCCAGGGTTTACGGCCTAAAAGATATCAAATTATTAAGTTTCAATCACTAAAATAATAACATGAAAGGGACATGCCACTTAGATTTTCTGACCATCATTTTTCAAAGGGTTTTTTTTTCAAATACAACAGGTCAGTAAACTTAGCAGTTTTTACACAGGTAATTCCACTACTTTAACACTCCTCCTGGTTTTAAGAGAATCTTCTTTTAAAGGTATTACTTTAAAAATAATTAATATACATGACATGACACACTTTATATAAAATTTACCTTATATTCCCAAAGGTTCTGTGGTGGTTTAACACCTAAAGTTTTCACACATTCCAGTTCTGCTATAATAGCTCTCCTGTGGTTACTGTTCTCTATACTGTAAGGCTCTTTGGTGAAATCCTCTTCAGTCAGTGTTAGGAGGAGTCTACAAAAGCAGAAGAATTAAGAATGTAAACAGTGCCTATTCACCAAAAAAGATGACTAACAAATACACAACTGCATACTGAAACAATAAGCTACTGATACAAGGTAGCACCCTTTGGGTTAAAGAATCAGAGAATACTTTGGGTTGGCAAACTTTGGGACTTTAAAAGATCATCATTACATTGCCTATCAAGTGTTCTATGCTAACTGCATCTCAGAGCCTGGGTTTTAAATTTCCTTCTTTTCCAGTTTCCTCTTGCCTGCTTTCAGCACAGCTCTTGGGTGGAATACATATGCATATAGCACATGCACATTTCCACAAGAAAGGAAAGGTGCAAGGGGTGGATAATACATCAGTAGATTTACTCTTGGTATCATTTCAGTCTGCATTGTCAGCATTTTAACAAGTTCTTAGAAATTTTTCAGGTAGCTTGCTAAGATAAGTATCTACTACTAAAAGTTTTCAACAGCAACTGTTAAAATTTCTTCTGAAATTTCTTCTGATACATCAACAGAATGTTCCCACAATCCATGTCACACAGTATGGTCATTTCACAACAAGACACCCCTAATGAATCTGTCACAGTCCAATCACATAATAGCTGTCCTTGACCACAAGGCCTCTCACCTTCCATTCACTTTCTCCAGTAAAAATCCTTCTTTGTAATGTGAAGCCCACGGGCCTAGCTGCTCCAGCCACAGTATCACTTCCTCAGCAGTCCACTTAGCAACAGGCTTGTGGACAAGAAGATCATCTTCAAATTCTCTGCTACTCCAGTGATAGCCTAGTAGAACCACCTACAAAGAGAAATAAACAAAGATCCTTTACTTGCAAAGCAAATACATGAATGATATAAATAAACACACAATAAGAGGCTCCACACGTAGAGTCTTCCATTTCATGGAGACTAGAACACTCAGGTTTTAAGAAAGTATTTTGAAGTTTTACCCACTAACTTCCATTTGCTGTACACTGCAGTTGTAGTTCCTGACAGACAGCTCTGAAGGCCACTTTACTTACTCTGCCCAGCTGGAGTCTCTTCTGTGCTCACAATGTTTTTACTGTGCATGTAATTCAAGAATATTTGATTGCATGCTTAAGGAAGCAAATAGGGAAAACCAACCAGATGAAACTTACTGCTACACAAGTTAAAGCTGTCAGAACGCCTGAGAAAAACCCTCCTCGAGGATTGATTCTTCCTGTGTTTGGAACTGTAGGCATCTGGTCGTTCCCATGCTTCTGGAAAGTTGCTAAGCTGCGTGCTACATCACTGTCCTGCTGAATATCTTCTTTTCTTTGTTCAATGGCATCAGAAAATAGCTTTTCAATAACATCCCTGATAGGAAAAATATTTGTCATTATACTGTAACCATTGAGGCTTAATGTTCAGAAAACAGAGTAATTTTTGGATTTTTGTTTTCCAGCCTTTAATAAAGACTTAAAAGCAAGAAAAAATTAGTTATTAAAGCTTAGTTAACTTAGAATTTTATCAATCACTGCCAAAAAACCATTTCCTTAGCTTCTAAAGTTAAATATCACATAACTCCCAAGTTATTTCTTATATAAAATTAGAATTCTGTGTGCTACTGGCAAGCCTCAATTATTAAAAAATGCTAAACAAAAGACAACATAAAAGCCTACAATCAATCCTACCATCTATTTATTTAAACATTATTAACCCCAGAAAAAGTATTATTAACAAAACAACTTGTGAGTAATTCAAGACAGCAAGTAGATGTTTTTAGTTTTGTTCTGCAATATGATCACACTTCTTCCAAAAAACAATTCCTATTACAGAAATGACTACACAATTACCCAAGATCAATCTAACTCAGAATTATTAGAAAACAACCAGTTATATTAGAAGACTGAGGTTCCTGCCTCTCCATCTCCCAAAAAATGTAGAAGGGAGGGGGAAAGCCCTCCCCAAAACAAACCTGAAAACAAAACCAAGCAACGCCACCCCTTAATTCCATGTGCGTGAACAGTTCATTACAAGTGCACAATCTGAAAGTCTTTAGGATTTAAATTTCTTTGTGACAGTTCAGATTACCAATTATCTGTATCTGCAGCAAACTGAGGAAACCAGACAGCTAATTTCTGTGGTTTCATTTATGTAAAAAAGACATTCACAAAATAGTTCCCTCACCTGAGGAGGATGTTGACTTTGGGGAATCCTTCCCATTTTTCTCTGCATTCCGGGCATTCATTCTTCTTGGACGACACCCACCACAAGGCCAAGCAATGCCTGCAGAAGCTGTGCCCACAGTTCAGGGTGGTGGGATTGATCAGAATGTCGTAGCAGCAGTGGCACAGGAACTCACTGACTGATATCTGCCGGCCCAGGCCAGGAGTAGCACATGGTTCAACTTTTGCCCTCTCTGTTTCCCCTGGTAAAGTCTCACCTTCTTCCATTTTCCTTTATGCCTTACACAAACAGAAAGCTCTCTTAGATCTTCAAACCAGATAAGGCACTACTTCTGCAAAGCAACATGAAAACAGCTATTATAGAGGTTTAGAATTGTGAGCAATGTGATTTATCATTGTACCGCTTTTGACACTCAGATGGTTTTAAATTTTTTACGTAACTTAGCCCTCCCCAAAATAAAACATGATCTACTTTTTCAACAATATATTCATTGCCAACTCCAATCAAAAGCAGATTCTAGATGTAAATAGCTGGGCTCAATCTCCCTATGCTTTCTTCTCCCATGTTATAAAATGAAAGTGAAACAAAATAATTCACTATGATTCACTATGACTTTTGACAGTAGCTTTAATCAAAGTTTTAGTAAAAGAAACCAGTCAAAGAAAATATAATTTAAAAGTATAATCAGCAGATACAAAAATAAAATACCAGTATAATGTAATGATCTAATTCACTTCATCCCTCTTCCTTCAGAGCATATGGAATAAAACATTACTAACAGAGGTCAATGCTAGACATTGCTGGGCAATGTTAAAAAAAAAAAAAGTTTGATCCACCAAGTCATATGCTTCATAATCATAAGGGATTGACCTGCACACCTTGTCAGCCAAGGTCTAAACTCCACATTAACTCTACTTGTAGTTACTTTGTTAACATTACAGAAAATGCACAGATAAGAGTTTAAGACGGTTGCAAGTTTACAAAAAATATATTTGCTTGATGTTCCTACTCCATTCTCTTAGTCAGCAGTATATTTCTTAAGAAAAACACTGATCCAGATCATTCACTCATCACTCATGATATGTTAGAAGACACCAAGAACTAGACAATTTTCTTCTCAGACACTACCAAACCAAAACATGATTACACTCTCCACCTTGTGGCTCCTGCTTACCACTAAATTACCAACTTGTCACCCAGATCAAACACGAAGAGGTAAACACGCAAGCAGGTAAAAAACAGAAATTACGAAAAAAGCACAAGTTCAAAAACAGAAACCGATAGTGAAATCAGAATCCTTAGACTTCCAAATCTGTATTTCCATGGCAATGCACGGGCTGTTTGCTTTCTAAAAACTGAAACGGCACTTTTAAGAGGAGAAATAAGGACAAGATTTTGCCCCTAAAAACATCCTTTTAGTTTTCCTGAAAGAGGCAAGAGAATTTCTGTGGAAAATACAGGAAAAATATTTCACCGCTCAGTCTGCAGAAAGTAAGAGGCAGCAGCAGAATGATTCCCAGCTCCTCTCCTGTCTCTTCCCAGCTCCAGTTTCCTGCACCCCGCGCTGCTTCTTCAGGCACAGCACTGCGGGTGCGGGTCCGGGCCCGCGGCGTTTCCCGGTCGGACCGGCGGGGGCGGCCCCAGCCCGATGCCGGGCACACGCTCGGGCCCCGCGGCGCCCCGGCTGCAGCCCCGGGCCGAGGAGGGGCCGGGCCGGGCCGGGCCGGGCCCGCGGCGTTTCCCGGCAGAGGCGGCCCCAGCCCGATGCCCGGCACACACTCGAGCCCCGCGGCGCCCCAGCTGCAGCCCCGGGCCGAGCAGGGGCCGGGCCCGCCCCGCCGCTTCCGCCCCGCGAGCACGGCGGCAGCGCCGCTCCTCCCTCAGCACGGCCGCCGCTCGCCTTTTATTGCGTTATCAGCGGACATGAGCGCTGCTGCGCTCCATTTCTGGGAATACACACGCTTCTGTATTCGTGAGAACTGAGGTACGCTTGTTTACTGTACACTGCGCACCCAGACAGCATTCCTTCGCAGAAATTATTCAAGGTTGATTTTACAGTAGAGATTCGAGGTGTAATCTTAGGAGTAAATGAGACTTTCAGGTGCTAGTTTTACTGCAGTGCTAACGCATCGTGTACAGAGACTATTCTTACCCCATAAGAGTCAATCTACACATGCACAATTACTTCTATCAGTCTCTGCACCCTTACTGAAATTCTTTTTACTAGTCCAAAAAAATTTGATTCACTCTCTACAACACCCTGACAGGAGGTTGTAGCCAGGTGGGGATGGACCTCTTCTCCCAGGGAATGAGTGACAGGACTTGCTTTACTCTGCACCAGGGCAGGTTTAGGTTAGGCATTAAGAAAGGGTACCAGATATTGGAATGGGCTGCACTGGGAGGTGGTGGAATCACCGTCCCTGGAGGTGTTTAAGGACTGGACAAAGCACTGAGTGCCACGGTCTAAATGGTGGTGTTTGGTCACAGGTGGGACTCAATGATCCCAGAGGTTTTTTCCAATCTAATTGATTCTGTAATTTTTTAAAGTATACCTCTGAGATGTATTTTTTCAACTGTCAAAAGTGACATTTTATTTTAAGATTCTGTTTCAGTTTGATACAAACTACAAGCCCAGTTCAAGTGACATTTAATTATTCCAGCCTATTTCAAGAAAGAAAATAGTCCCTCATTGTTTTCTCTCTCATATTATCCAGATTTTTTCCAGAGAACCAATCAACAGATCTTTAAACTACTCTAGCATGAAAGAACTCAACCTCTTCTACATGTGAGGAAGTGCATCTAGATCTACCCTAGTATGCAAGATGAAAATGCGGCCCAGAATACTTGTTCTAGAATATAGTTTTTTTACTACTTTTTTGTGTCTTTTCACTTAGTTTCACATTCAATGTTCAGTAAAGTAAAAGAGCATACAAGTGTTTGATAGTCTGTGCAGCAGACTTGAATGATGTGAAAACATGGCCTTTCTGTTCCAGTTTATAAAACTTTTGACATATAAAAGGCCATGGAATCTTGAACTAACTGCTTGTATTGTGCTCTCATTTTTAGGTGCTCCTTACACTTACATAACAATGCATACATGTTGAAGTAAAAAATGTCTAATCTGTAAGACATAGTACTTCAGCTCCTATTGAAGTACTTAATTACAGTACGTTACTGTTTGACTTGCTGTTTATTTTGTGGGTGAGGGAAGCAAAGAGTTCCCAGATTTGTCAGCTACTTGTGGGAAAATGTCAGGCTTCTAAAACAGCCATCAACCACTTTAAAGTGCCATAAACACTTTAATTAGAAAGTGCAGAAATGCATCTTAAAAAAATGAGGAGTAACATAAAAATTTTAGGCTTCAGCCAATTTACTGCAAAATAAAAACTTCTCTGCCATTTTAACTAACACCTTACTGGGAGTCATTTAATCATACTAGATGAATTGCTGGGAATGTCTGTTGAATAAATTGCTTATACTGAAAAGGCAAAGCTTAATATTGAAGAATCTTTAAAAGCTCTCTCCACTACATCCTGCATAATTATTTATCTTTTTCTGTATGCAGAAATTACCCCGCACAATTTGTGGAGAATTTTTCATTTGTTTCCATTATGCCGGAATTCTGGAAAAGATGATTTATGAGCCATGTGAACTGCAGCCCTGCAGCACAACCTCTGAACTCTTCTGCCGCCAGTGCCCACAGCTCCTGCCCTGTGTCCCTGTGCAGCACCTGCTCTCCGGGGCAGCTCTTCCCTGCACGGCGCTGCTGCGGGCCCATCCTGCTCCTCTTCTGCAGCGAGCTCTCAAAGTGCCGCTTCTGACAGGAAAACGCTCCTTCTGTAATACGGCAATACCTCCAGTTCCCCTGGAATTGTCATCATTAAGGCACCATCGCTAGCAGTTCTCCACCGTCCTGCCGGTGTCTCCTAGGCAGAGTCCCATGCCTTCCTCCTGGCTGCTGCTAGTTTCGTATTTCTGGCTTTGAGGGCGAGGCCCACATCCGTGACATTTCACCACAGAACCACGGCTGGTGAAAGACTTCCTATCCCCCGGCAGCCCTGCTGCGGCCGCTCCGGTCCTGCGGCCCGCTCGGAGCACAGGCCAAGCTACTGAAGGCGCCGAGCCCGCGGGCGGACAGGGCGGGGCGGTCCTGAGGGCTCCGCCCCGGTAGGAAATGGCGGCAGCCCGGGCTCACGTGCGCGCTCACGTGCGGCGCGCGGGGCGGCCCCGGAAGCGCTCGGCGGCGGCGGCGGGCGGTGCCGGGCGGTGCCGGGCCGAGCTCCGGCGGGCGGGGGCGCGGGATGGAGGTGATCAGGAGCAGTGAGTGACAACCCGGCCCTGCGTCCCCAGCTCTGTGCCGCTGGCGCTGTGCTGTTCCGGTGTCCCGGTGTCCCTGCCCTGGGCTGGCGGCCGCTCCGGCCTCAGCCTCTCCTTCATGGCGAAGGGGTCCCCATTACCCGCTCACCCATGAGGCGCAGCCCTGGGCGGGGAGGCGCGGCCCCGAGGCTGGGGGGGTGGCGGGCAGGCCCTGAGGGGCGCCGGGCTCCCGGAGGATGTCAGTTGTAGACTCAAGTGTGTTTTAACCCTTTACCCGCAGATTTTAAGGATAACCTAAACAAAGTGTATGAAGCCATTGAAGAGTCGGACTTCCTGGCCATCGATGGAGAGTTTTCAGGTACAGTTGCACCTGTTTTGTCACTGTGAACTGTTGGCAGTCTCTGAGGGGAGGTGGTTTGACCTCGCTGCCTGCGTTCACTCCTGTGATGTGTCTCAGGTTGGCTTGAAAAAGCTAAAGCTGAGCTACCACAAAGTGATTAAACCACCTGTTACATGTGCAATAGCAAGGGTTTGGTCAGATACATGTCATACTTGTGCTCCCACAGAAATCTTTCAACATGGCAACTGATAGTTGTTGCAGCTCAAGGTAACAAAACCAGAAGGTGTTATGTGTGCCATGGAAGCATGGGACTGGGATAAGTGAGGGAGATCCCACAAGTGTTAGGACAGGGAAAGACAGCACTAAGAAGGTGTGTGCTTGTGAAACCGTGAGAGTATGGGCAGCAGAGAGATGCTTTAGTTGGTACTTCACTTTTGGAATGCAGAGTTCAGTTCACTGATGAGACTAGGTTTTGTTACATGTGGTGTTTGTGGAAGTACAGTTGTTGCATAGTGCTTAAGGTGACTAAGTTATTCAATAAATCTCAGGGTAACACTCTTCCTATTTTTAGTTTGGCTTTGATCCTGCATTGTGGTGTGAAGCCCATTTACATGAGGGTACTGGTAGGTCTTGGCTGCTACTGACATAGTGAATAGGAGCCAGAATATAGAGCTTTTGCAGAGGAGTTTTAATTCTAGAATGTCCCTATTAAAATGAGTGGCTTATTGCAGTAGTATTTTTCTCAAATTAAATAATTGTAATACATGCTTTAAGTGAAAGCAATTGCCAGTTGTTGCATTTCTTTGCTGTGGTTAATTTTGAAAAGCTTGCTTACCCAAAGCAAAATATGTTCTGCTTTTTCAGGGATCAGTGATGGGCCTTCAGTTAGTGCATTAACAAATGGCTTTGACACTCCAGAAGAAAGGTATCAGAAACTTAAAAAGGTAAAGTCTTTACATGGACTAAAATGAAAACTGAAGCTGCTGTGGGTGCAGCATCTTGTTTGTATGACCAACAGGAGGAAAGAGAGATGGAACTTCCCTCAGTTCTTGTCTCTTTGTGGAATGGAGCTGCATACTAAAGTTATCTTGGGCCAATAGGAAGATGATTAAATGGGGATGAAAACTAGCAGAAAAACTCTGGTGTATCTACTTTGAAATTGCCAGCAAAACAAACATTGGTTAAGAAGATTCACTTTATTTTGAAATGGAGAGAAATCATATTTGGATGCACCCTGGTAATGTTTAAATGTGTACATGTTTTATTCTCATGCAGAATTTTTCTTTCATTTTACAGCATTCCATGGATTTTTTGCTCTTTCAGTTTGGCCTTTGCACTTTTAAATATGATGACACAGAAGAAAAGTATGTTATTCTCTTATTTCTTGTTTTCTTAATTGAGGATTTTCTAAAGTAATACTGACAAGCTGTATTGACATGTAACTCATCTTTTCTACAGGTATATAATGAAGTCATTTAATTTCTATATTTTTCCAAAGCCCTTTAACAGAAATTCACCAGATGTCAAGTTTGTCTGTCAGGTTAGTAGAAAAGCAGTTTAATTTTATTTGGTTAAGGTATACCTGAAACAAACTTCAGCTTAAAAGGTAGAAAAATGTAAGTTTCTGGGTTGGGTTTTTTTCCTTATAAAATAAATAAGCATCAGTTAAGAGCAATCCCAAAAATGAGAGCTTGAAGGGAATATCCTTGACTTCAGTTTTTAAAACTTGTTATGTGTGATTTCTGGAATTTGAGATAATGTTCCAAACTTGGCAAGATGAGTCTATTTTTTTCCCCTCTTCTCATTGAACTTCCAGTTTCCTTGCTTTTTTTAATCCTTTATTCTCATCTGCTTATCTTGCTTTCACTGCTTCCTAAGCAATTGCCAACATTTTTCTGCTCTCAGATTTGTTCTCCTGAACCACATTTTGCTTTCTTTTGTTTCCTCTCTCCACATAGTTTGTTCTTTCATCTTTATCCTTTACCATATTCATGGTTCTTCTACGTTATGGAAGTTGAAAATCAATAAGAAAAGTGGCAGAGCCTAAACTCTCCGTGGCTTCTTTAGGGTCACAAACTTGGTTGTTCTTGGCTTTGGACTTTGTATAATTTCTTTAAAAGTGTGAAAATAACTTAAGTGATGCCACAGCTACTTTTACCAATTGTAAAGCCTTTTTCTCTTGTTGCAGAGTTCAAGTATAGATTTTTTAGCAAACCAAGGATTTGATTTTAATAAAGTTTTTCGCAACGGTGAGTTGTTTTGGTTTGTTTTCAATTTCTTTCAATGACTGCAAAATTTGTGATGACACCTTTCACTGTTTTCTGCAAAAGAAAAAAGGCTGCCATCCATGATACTGTCTTAACACGTAATGAAGTTCTTGAATTATTCTTACCCAGTCTACTGTTGTGCCAATGGTGACTCCCTTTCCAAGAATCACTGAAAGGGAAGGGTTTGCTTTCAGTCTGCAGGGGTGTAACAGAGGCAAATGTTTCAATCCCTGTACATCTCTAATTAGTCTCTAATTATGATGAGCTTTTCCTTTGTTTTTGTTAGGAATTCCGTATTTAAATCAGGAAGAAGAGAGACAGCTAAGGGAACAGTATGATGAAAAACGTTCTCAAGCCAATGGTGCAGGATCTCTGTCATACATTTCTCCTAATTCCACAAAGTGCCCTGTAACAATTCCTGAAGATCAGAAAAAATTTGTAGAGAAAGTAGTGTAAGTAGCCCTATTTAATATCTTCTGATGTTGTTAAAACTAAAATGTGAACTGTAGTGATATTTTCACATGTTGAAGCCATGTCTCTTATTTGACTGTTTGTAAAATGCTGCTCTTTTTGCTATGAAGCATTTTCTTGTCTTTTGGAGAGAGCTGTAAACTTCCAAAAAATAGAGTAGCAGATGCAGAAGCAAATAATCTGTTTCTTCCAGGGAACAGATAGAAGACTTATTAAAGAATGAAGAAAGTGAAAGTTTGGAACTGGAGCCATGTACAGGGTCAGTTTCTGAAATTGCATTTCTTCTAAAATTTTTTTTGTTTTGGTCATATGGAATTAGGGGAGTGACAGGGAAGAATATGTTTACTTGGGTTAACTGTAGCAAAATCTACATTTGACTAATTTTTGAATGTTAAGAATATGTGATAATGTATACAGGTGTTGTAATTTATTTTGAGCTGTAACTTCTGCATGTAGTGGCAAAATACTTAAGTATAGTCAAGAAATGTCTTTTATGTGTGAGCTGCCTTTTGTTCCTGCTGAAGTGATCCAGATGCATTTCATAAAGAAACTTTTAAAATCTCTTGAGCTATTGGTTGTTCACAGTTGGCAGTGTGTGACTGTTTTAAGTAGGTTTCCTTCCCAAAATTCTATTTACCTTTGGAAACTAGATATTTGGAGAGTATGATTATTTAAAAAAAAAAAAGTTAAAAACTAATTTAGGAATAGTAGAACATGGTGAAGCTGGGGATAAGGTACCATCACTGTATCTGTACTGAGTGATCATGACTACAGAATACTCTCTGATGAGAGGATACATGGGTAACTTTAAAACACGATGTAAATGCTTGTACAGTTTGGCAGCTGAACATCAGAATTCAGTCCATTTCTTCCTAGCCTATAGTTCTGCTAGCAGTGACTCTTGCTTGAAAAAACTTTCTACAAATGAACACTTATAGTCAGCTTAAACTGGAAATAGTTCCTAGGAAACCCTCTGTAAAAGGATTGTTAGTAACATGATTGTCTTTTGGTTTTAGATTTCAAAGGAAATTAATTTATCAGACCTTGAGCTGGAAGTAAGTTACTGGTAATACTGCCTTGCTGTATATTTTTAGTACTTTTGATAAGAAATCTGGGTAAGATGTATCTACTTAACCGTGGTGTGATTGATTTACACTTTATTTTT